TGAAGTTCTTATTGGTTAACTATTCTTTAACTTCGTGCCATTTAACATAGTTTTAGCATGTGTATAATTCTGCAAGCACCAACAACAACCCAAGAGCAACGAAACAACAGCTTACGAAATAAAATTTCATAATCCAATTTAACTGTAAGCGCTAAAATTTCCTGTCTAAGCAACATCATTCTTTTTTTCCAGAAAACTGCAGAGTAGTGGATGCGGGAAGGAAAGAAATAATATTTCCGATTGCTTTTTCAGAACAAAAGATGCAACGACTCAATATTACGCTACTATAAAATTAATCACTAACTACGTAGTGATTGATTTCGCAGTACCCGGCACTTTTTACCATACTTATACGTACAACTTTTTACCGTACTTATACGTAGTACCGGGTACTTTTTATCATACTTATACTTACCACTTTTTACCATACTTATACGCAGTACCCGGTATTTTTTAAAATATTCTGATAGTTTTGATTAAAAAAATTTCTCAGTGTACTATGTTTTCGTAACTTGAGATGGTTTACAAACGAAATATAGATAGTTTGCCAACAGTTTACGAAATAAAATTTCATGATCCAATTTAACTATAAGCGTTAATATTTCCTGTCTAAGCAACATCATTCTTTTTTTCCAGAAAACTGCAGAGTATTAGATGCGGGAAGGAAAGAAATAATATTTCCGATTGCTTTTCCAGAACAAAGGATGCAACGTCCTAATATCACACTACTATGAAATTAATCACTAACTACGTAGTGATTGACTTTATAGTAGAAGGTACTTTTTACCATACTTATACGGTACTTTTTACCCTATTATGATAGTTTTGACCATATTTTTTTCTCAGTGTACCACGTTTTCTTAACGTGAGATGGTTTACGAACGAAATATAAATAATTTGCCAACAGTTAACGAAATAAAATTTTATGATCGAATTTAATAATAAGCGTTAAAATTTCCTGTCTAAGCAGCAGCATTGTTTTCTCCAGAAAACTGCAGAGCAATAAATGCGGGAAGGAAATAAAATAATATTTCCGATTGCTTTTCCAGAACAAAAGATACAACGTCCTAATATCACGCTACTATGAAATCAATCACTAGCTACATAGAGATTGATTTCATAGTACAAGGTACTTTTTACCAGACTTATAAGTAGTACCCGGTATTTTTTGCCATCTTTTTCTCTCAATGTACTATGTTTTATTAACGTGAGATTTGCAGAAGAAATATAAATAATTTGCCAACAGTTTACGAAATAAAATTTTATGATCCAATTAAACTATAAGCGTTAAAATTTCCTGTCTCAGCAACAGCATTTTTTTCTCCAGAAAACTGCAGAGTATTAAATGCGGGAAGGAAATAAATAATATTTCCGATTGCTTTTCCAGAACAAAAAAGATGCAACGTCTTAATATCACGCTACTCTGAAATCAATCACTAACTACGTAGATTAAAGACCCCCAGAAACATTACGCAGAGTGTCCAAGCGCATACTAATTCGCGCCATCGTCCCCAATCAGGTATGCTTTTCCACAAACTTGTGCGTGAAGATTTGGTGTTTTGGAGAATCAAATGGCAGCCTTTACCACTCGCTTCTGCATACGTGTCATTAACTCTGCATTAACATGGGGTGATCGGGTATGGTGATCACGGAATTACAGTAAATTAGGCCGTTAAATGAATGAAAAGATATTAAGTTTGTTTTTTGATTAGTGTTAGATTTAAACTGATTGTTCGGAATTAATGTAAAAAAGTTATAAAATCGTGGTAATAAGGGAGGGTGTTTTTGCTGTGAATTTTTTTGACGTGACGATAACGGATTGGGTGCTTGCCAAGCAAGCTACCGAATTTCGAGAAAGAGAATCCATTTTGGACATGCATCCGATAAATATGGTAAATACGATGACCTCAGGGTTTTAAATCATTACAAACACCTTAAATGTAATATGCAGTGCTCACAGTATCTGTTTTTAATTATTTTATTTAGATTTGAAGAACTATAAAAAACGAAAAACTTATAATAGCCATTTTTTGAACATTTTTATAAACAAAAGCAATTTAATAAAATTCAATTAGAAATACTATTGTATGAACCGTTTTCTAGTTTAAAAGATAATACTTCCTATAAAATGTGGTTTTTTAAAATAAACTTTTTTATAAAATTTTTTAATGTTCTAAAAATTATTCTGGTAGAAATATTTTGTGAAACAGAAGGAAAAAAAAATATTGACATGATGGAAAAGGAAATATCCAATCAAATCTTATCCTAAAATTAAAAGAATTGATAAAATAATTTTTTTAAAAAAAGTACTTTTATTTGAAAATTTTACTTGGTTGAAAAATTTTTATTCGCAAAAATTATTTATTTTTAAAAAGCAGTTCCTATTCAAAACTATTTATGCCTGTAAAAATTGTTTATCTTTGAAAGGCAGTTTATTTTTACAAACTTTTTCTTCCTCTTCTTTTTTTTTTTTTATGCAAAAGCTATTTTTAAAAGGGAATTGTTTTCCAAAATAAACTATAGATTTTTGTATTAACTGTTTATGTCTGAAATGCTGTTAGTTTTTACTAATTACTTATTTTTGTAAAAACTGCTGAAGTTTGAAAAACAATTTCTTCTCACAATCTATTGGTTTCTAAGGAGAAGGAAATTTTTCATTTAAAAAAAATAGCTTCGATTCAAAAAGCATTTTGAAAAACTGCTTGGTCACTTAGTTCTTTCATTAAGCATAAAATAGCCCTTATCTAATATCATATAAGGATAAAATTTCCGTTATTTATGTTTTAAAAAAAAGACAGAAAAAAAAGACTGAATTTACTAATGAGTATAAACAGTAACAGTTCCGGTGGACTAGTTAATAGGCTAAGACCTAGTACTTACATACCCTTTGGCACACCTGTGTTCTTAAGAATAAAACAGGAAAAAAATTGAGGAAGGGGGGATTAAATACAGGGGGGCGAGTTGAGTTGTTCACCGACCTGTGATGTAACAAAAGACTTAAGAAAATGTATTCCATGTCCTTTCTTTAAGTCCAAGATTGAGAAGATCGTAAAAATGATGGGATGAAGGTACTAATTATTAATGATTTATTGTTGCCTTTTCAAGATCGAAGCCTTCAAAAGTGAATGCAGGGAGGGAACAGATAAATATTGCAACATTTCTAATGTTACTGAGTCTGTTTAAAACAAGTAGAAAGAAATTGATCATACTTTCCCCACATGCAACCTTCAACATTTTTCAAAATATTTACGAATCAGTTATAATTGGTGGTAGAAAACAGAAAAGTTCAAAATATTAACCTGGATTGTTATTAAATGTATATTTGTAAGAATAATATTTTCTCAGTGAGTGAGTACAATAAAATTATCGTGTTATGTGTGTAAAGCATCTTGCCTATTGTAATAAATACGACCAAATCGTATTTTATTCCAAGCATGCGCTTACCCAACCATCTGTTACCGATAAAGCTCGGAAACTGTTAACCCTTTAACGCAGAAGGGACACCTCTGTCCCTTTTATATATTTTTTTCCTGGCTCTCAAATTGCAAGCAAAAATATATTTTGGTTATTTTTAAGTATTAAAAACAGTCTAATAGTTACTAAAAAAATCAATCTAGATTAACGGAACACAGAGATAAAAGAAAACTCTGGAAACATTACTGTAACGCATGGCAATATTTCTGGTTAAAAAAATATCTCGCATAATTCTGGTTAATAAAACCAAAAATTTACCGTATTCAAGCAATATCATGAAAAAATTTCCAAATTTGACCAAGTTTAATCACATATGATAAAACTACACATTATGATTAATTTTACCTATATCCTTAACACAATTCTTCAGTAAAAATTGAGGGCTTTTCCGGTGCTCCCATAAAGCCAGAAAGAGTATAAATTTCACCATATTCTGGAAGTTTTGACTTTTTTTCCCTCAGTCTATGTGTTACTGGCGAAGTTCGAAATCCAGCATTGTATAGAATGCCTTGGCATTGTATATAATGCCTAAAACCAGCAGGCACTGCATGAAACGATTTATATTTCACACATTTCCTAGGCATTCTATAGCATGCCAAATGAGAAATCGGCAGAGTATAAAATGCATCTCCGATTCGTTTCGTAATATAATGAAATATAATTCAAAATGTCATTCAAGCCAATATTTTAACCAGGCTTAAACAAATTAAATAAAGCTGATTGAAAATCAAAAGCTCATTTTAATTAGCAATTAAACGTGTCAAGTAAATTTAAAAATTAATTTTTACTCTTAAATGTAAATACTCATTTACTTGGTTATAATATTTTTCAGTTCCTTAATAGTGTAATTGTGCTATATTAGCATGCTTTTATCATTTACTTTTATCACAAAATAAACATACTCTTTATTGTTCAACAGACAACCTAATCAATCATTAATGCTTGCTGTTGTTGTTGTTCATTTACGTCGCACTAGAGCTGCACAATGGGCTATTGGCGACGGTCTGGGAAACATCCCTGAGGATGTTCCGAAGACATGCCATCACAATTTTGATCCTCAGCAGAGGGGATGGCACCCCCGCTTTGGTAGCCCGACGACCTGCACGTGAAGTCGAGCACTTTACGGTACAACAGTTTAACGAGGACTAATACCGCACACCCTCGGTCCCTACGCAGGCTGATCCAAGTGGTCACACACCCGCACACTGACCGTAACCAGTGATGCTTGACTTCAGTGATCTGCTGGGAGCCGTGTCTTAACGATCAGTCCACTGCGGGACCATTTTTGCTTGCAATAAATAATTTAAAACATAACTATTATCATTTTTAGTGTTTGTTTTATCATTTTCAAATATATAAATATTAAAATTATCCGCATTTGTTAAACCGGTGAAAATTTTAAATATTGCTAATGATAATTCAACAAAAAATTGAAATTGGTTTATAAGATTCCCACGTGCGGGTGGTGATATTCTATGAAGGTATGTTTGATAGATTTTCAATGTCAGCAACTCAACACATAAACGTACACAAACAAATTTAGAATTTTATTATGTCTAAAAATATATTATATTATGAAATCATCACTTAATAAATGGAAAGTGGAAACTTGTTGCTGCAGTATTAACAGGGATGGGCGTCAGCATCTCCCTTTTTATTAGTGAGTTGGTCAGTCAGTAGGGATATGAATAATATGAATCTGAAATTAATTTTAAAAAAAATATTTTTATTTATGACAGTGAAAATATATTCAATGTACAAGAAATATGTAGAGTTTGCAAAACAAAATTGACCACTCTGAATAACTTTTGATCTTACGGCCGGATTTTCACGTATTAAGACGGAATTTTAGTGGTTTGAGAGAGTGAGACCTCAAATATGCTAATTAATCAGAACGAACGTTATTTTAAGTTACGAACTCAGAAACGTATTATCTCTGAACAAGCGTTCAATTTTTTTTGACGGCCTACAGCAGGGGTGGCGAACCTTTATACACCAACGTGCCATTTTCTCTAAAAAATTGCTTAATGAGGTCATAGACGTGCCGTCAAATAATTTTGACTTCGTGATTATTGGGAAAATAATAATACTAAATACTATCAACTCAGAACTCTTTATTTACATTGAAAAAAAAATACATTTTGCAATGTCTCAGTTATACAAGTAATTCAACTTAAAGTAACATGTGACTTGTTGCAGATTAGATGACCAATAACTTATATTAGGTTCTAAGATGTTAGTTTAAGCAGGACTGTTGATTTTTTTTGCTAGTTATTTGCTGTCAGCTTGTTTTTACGGTTATTAATTGTTTTTAGCATTAATTTTTAATTTTTTTATTAATAATTGTTTAATATTTTGTTTGTTTTTTGTGAATTTTAATTTAATTGTTACATATGCTTCATAGCGTAATAACATTTGTGTAATAACAATTCATAGTGTAACAACAATTGTGATCGGTGGAGTGCCCAAAATATTGTGTCGCGTGCCATAAATGGCACGCGTGCCATT